CCATGTGGAACTGTGAGTTAAACCTCTTTTGCTTATAAATTACCCAGTCTCGGGTAATGTCTTTATGACAGTGTGAAAATGGTCTAATACTGTACTGAATAATAGAAAATACTTGCCTACCGTAATATCTGACACAAAACTGTTATGTGGAATGTATAAAGAATTCTAGAATGACTTAACAAAAAAGCAAATAAAATTTAAAAAAGCAAAATGCTCAAATTAGAAAATGGATAGAACTATGAGAAGACATTTCACTGAAGCAGATATACTGAGATAAACAGGCACATAAAAAGATTTCCAACATCACCACCCATCAAATGTCAGACCTCAGCACATTCTGCTTTCTCCATGTGAACCCCTGGATGCCATCAGAGAGAATGGGAAACCCAGGAGCTTCTACTCAAGGGTCCAAAATGTTTGGTGATGTGTATTAGCAACCTGTAATTGTTTTTGGAAATGAACAATGAGAACATAGATATAAAAAATATTCTCAGCTCAACAAATATGCACTGTCATTATCATTATTAGTGATTTTTTTTTTTTTTTGACACAGTCTTGTTCTGTCACCCAGGCTGGAATGCAGTGGCATAATCTCAGCTCGCTGAAACCTCTGCCTCCTGGGCTCAAGAGGTTCTCCTGCTTCAGCCTCCTGAGTAGCTGGGACCACAGGTGTGTGCCACCACGCCCGGCTATTTTTTGTATTTTTAGTAGAGACGGGGTTTCACCATGTTGGTCAGGATGGTCTCCAATTCCTGACCTCAGGTGATCCACCTGCCTCGGTCTCCCAAAGTGCTGGGATTATAGGGGTGAGCCATCGCACCTGGCCACTATTAGTGAATTCTTAAACTCATACCTTACGTACTGGATACCTCCCTCGAAAGATAAATCTTTCTTTCTTTTCTTTCCTTTCTCTTTCTTTCCCTCCCTCCCTCCTCTTCCCAGGTTCAAGCGATTCTCCTGCCTTGGCCTTCTGAGTAACTGGGATTACAGGTGCGGGCCACCACACCAGGCTAATTTTTGAATTTTTAGTAGAGACAGGGTTTCACCATGTTGGTCAGGCTGGTCTCAAACTCCTGACCTCATGACCCGCCCACCTAGGCCTCCCAAAGTGCTGGGATTACAGGTATGAGCCACCTTGCCCGGCCTAGATAACCTTTCTTACAGGATTATGTGGTAATGAGTGTCTCTGTCATTCATTTAGGTAAGATTCATAGGCAATAGTGATCTGTAAAAATATAGACTTAATTGATCTATAAAAATATAGATTTAATACAAAGTTACCACAATCACAAAGATATATGAAGAAAAACCATTTAAAAATTACAAGAGATACTAACAAAACAGGTATAGACAGAGAGTAAAGGACAAAAATATCTAGCATTGTCACTGTAGCATCACCGTTAAAAGCTTGTCCTTGCAACCAGACAACATGGATTCAAATCTTGATTCAGCCTCTTACTGAAATGTGACTAGATGAGTCTTTTAAAGCAGAATATGCTGAGGTCTGACATTTGATGGATGGTGATGCTGGAAATCTTTTTATGGGCCTATTTATCTCAGTATATCTGCTTCAGCGAAATGTCTCTTCATAGTTCTATCCATTTTCTGAAACACACACACACACACACACACACACACACACATATACAGAGAGAGAGAGAGGGAGAAAGAGAAAGACAGATAGAGATGGAGTCCACAGGCTGGAGTGCAATGGCACATCTCAGCTCACTGCAACATCCATTTCCGAGGTTCAAGCGATTCTCCTGCCTCAGCCTCCCAAATAGCTGGACTTATAAGCGCCCGCCACCACACCCAGCTGATTTTTATATTTTTAGTAGAGACAGGGTTTCACCATGTTGATCAGGCTGGTCTTGAACTCCTGACCTCAGGTGATCCATCTGCCTCAGCCTCTCAAAGTATTGGGATTACAGGTGTGAGCCACTGTGCCCAGCCTAATTGGATTATTTTCCCTATCTGTCCTAGGTTTCCTCACCTCTGAAATGAGAATATCATCAATATTTACTTCGGGGAGCTGACGATTTAGTTGTTACACATAAAGCACTAACAACTGTGATTCTTACTCTAAATGTGATTGATACGAAAGAAAATATATATGCAAAGGTAAATCACTTATTAAAGAATATGTATCAGTTTTTAAAAACAGAAACAAATCTAAGGGGAATATATTAAACGGCAGCTGTCATGGCAAAAGTTGCACAAATGTCATGTTTCGCTGTAAGATCCTCTGGCTCAGAACAGAAATACCAGCCACAGTGGGAAGTTGAATTGCCTCCAGGGATTCACCAAATTATCTCCTTTGCATAAATTATAACTAATATCTTGTGGACTCTCTTATTAACTGTATTTTCATTTAGTTCTCCAGGTGCTGGTTAACCTCCACACTTGATTTTCAAGCAGCTTATCTTTGATAACTTCCATATTAAGAGACTTCATTTCACCATTTTGTGTCCCAGTACTTTAATTGAACTAAAGACTTACAAGGACATTCCATTTTCCTATTTACAGAGAACCTAGTCAGTACCTGCCATTATCTAACATACATTTCATGTCACAAAATTTTATTTCCAAACAACACCCTCCTTTATGTATTCTCTAAGTTTTTCACCAGAGTAACACAGAGAAGAAATGCAGTAAACATATAATTTGGATTTAAACGTATGGAAGGAAAAAACCTTTACAGTAAAAATCATATACAAAAACAAAAAGTCATTTTACTACTATTGAAAATAAGGTATGGGCGGGCATGGTGGCTCACGGTTGTAATCCTAGCACTTTGGAAGGCTGAGGCCAGAGGATTGCTTGATGCCAAGAGTTCAACACCAACCTGGCCAACACAGCAAGACCCCACCTCTAAAACGAAAAAAAAGCTATGAAATATTACACAATACCATAAACTGAAGATGACATTAACATAACACAGCCTTTGAAAAATAATCTTTAGCTAAAATTGCTTGATCACATTATGTAATAAAGTTTTCCACAAATTCATTTTCAAGTAAAAGTATTTTACTTGAACTACTGTAAAAATATTTTAGGCAATCTAAACAGCATTTCACAAACATTTTCAAGAACGATGTTGTATAATGAGACCTATGGGTTCAGCAGGAAAGGAAAACTAATTACTATTATAAAGAAAACAGAGGTCTTTCCTAATAAATAACTTAGAAATTTATTTTCTTTTGAGATGGAGTCTCACTCTATTGTCCAGGCTGGAGTGCAGTGGTGAGATCTCAGCTCACTACAACCTCCGTCTCCCAGGTTCAAGTGATTCTCCTGCCTCAGCCTCCTAAGTAGCTGGGACTACAGCTATGCACCACCACACCCGGCTAGTTTTTGTATTTTTAGTAGAGATGGGGTTTCACCATGTTAGCCAGGCTGGTCTCGAGCTCCTGACCTAAGGTGATCCACCTGCCTCGGCCTCCCAAAGTGCTGGGATTACAGGCGTGAGCCACCATGCCTGGCCGGAAATCAGAAGTTTCAAGAGTAAATATTCAGTGTTGTAGTAGTCAGTTTCCATTTTGTGATTTTTGTCTTGTAACACCATTTACGCCTTTGCACTCCCTCTTCTTATTCTGCCTGGCCAAGCTGATAATGCCCATGTTCCTTCCTTTGGCACTAGATGGAAGTTCAAACCATGTGTGGGACCCTCACTCCAATCACACCCTTTTATTAAAGGTTATTACCATAATACCCAAAACAAGTTACTTACCCCTGCTCTCTCAAGCCAATTTGGACCAGTTTGGGAAGTCAACCTTGCTTCTCACAGAAATCCTCATTATGCAATAAGCATTTTCCTAAAACTTAATTGTTTGACATCATAATTTTCTGTATCTAATCCAAACCGTAGGTTGAGTTCAATACACTTCCAGTGGAGGGGGGACAAATTAACATTACCAAAAATGTGGTAAGGCTATATTTATGAGACTTCTAGTTTACCTACCAAAATGAAATTTCCATTTTGTATGTTCGTTAAGAGGAAACTCATGAATGTTAGCCTTGTCAAATTATGTCAATGAGCATAGCGTTCTAAGAATAGTGTAATTTTTGTTATTCTGCACTATTTATAATTTCATAATATTTTTCATGCACTTTTTTTTTTTTGAGACAGGGTCTGTTTCTGTCACCCAGGCTGAAGTGCAGTGGTGTGATCTTGGCTCATTGCAACCTCTGCCTCTTGGGCTCAAGTGATCCACCTGCCTCAGTCCCCTGAGGAGCTGGGACTACAGGTGTGAGCCATCGGGCCTGGCTAATTTTTCTATTTTTTTTGTAGAGATGGGGTTTTGCCATGTTGCCCAGGCGGTTTGAACTCCTGGACTCAAGTGACCCACCTGCCTCTCAAAGTGCTGGGATTACAGCCATGAGTCACCACACTGGCCTATACACCTTCTATATTTGTATTTTCACTTCATGTAAATACAGATGTATGCCATGGTTATTTGGCACATAAGCATGTAAAAACATAACACAGTATATATTCACCAACACTGTGGCAGCTTTCAGAGTGTAAAAATGGCACTTATAAAAATGGTTGGGTTTTTTTTGTTTGTTTGTTTTGTTTTTTTTGAGACAGAGACTTGCTCTGTTGCCAAGCTGGAGTGCAGTGGCGCGATCTCGGCTCACTGCAACCTCCAACTGCTGGGTTCAAATGATTCTCCTGCCTCAGCCTCCCAAAGGCGACTGCCACCATGCCAAGCTAATTTTTATATTTTTAGTAGAGACAGGGTTTCACCATGTTGGCTGGGATGGTCTCTATCCCCTGACCTCGTGATCCACCTGCCTTGGCCTCCCAAAGTGCTGGGATTACAGGTGTGAGCCACTGCACCCAGCTGAAAGTTGCACTTTCTATGGGATTTTCATTATATCTATATAAATATGCTAAGACAGAGTGTAGAGAGAATAATTCAGGTGCAGAGTATGATTACAGTTTCCCAAAATTGTATGTTGATTCCATCAAGAAAAAAAAAAATTGTTCTCGATCCTCCAGCCTAGAAGACTGAGTGTACTGTTATTATCTGTCATGAAGTATCCTACTGAGGTAGGATAAAACAGTGTTGGTACAAAAAATGTGATTCATTCATAGTTATAAGAAAACGTCCAATTTTTTTGTTAAAACATTATGTCTGTGACACATTCTCAATAAAACAGCAGCAAAATGTAATTCTAGCAGTTAGTGTGAATTCTACTAAAAAAAAAATGGTATTCTGGTTCTTTTGTCCAAGCTCCCCACTCTGGTAACTGTTATCTCTTCAATTTCAAAAATAAGCCTATTTTTCATCAATCTCTGCTATAAAACAGCTATTGCCATTCAATAGAGAAGGTGGCAATCGTTTCCCCTGCACTATTCGTATTATATAATCAGTCATTAATAACCTATTACTCTCCTCCCATAAAAATACCAGTGTCCTGAGGTCTTGGCCTGCTCAATGCATGGCTAGTGCAGCCTTTCTTCCCTAAAACCCACAGTGTCTTTCTCTCAGAAGGGCACCCTGTAATACAATCAGTATGATGACTGATATCATAGTTTTACCTTATTTTCTGCCCCAAACCATGGTCTCTCAATTGAAAGAACATTTAATTTTATAATGCAGAGTCCTCCTTCTTCAATAAACTTGGATAAATATGATCCTCATGTAATGAAGTAGGCCCTTCCATACTATAGTTCTTTCCCAGATGGGCACCATGAAAGGTATTCAGTTTGAAAGTCATAAACAGTAGCCTTTTTGAGAAACCTCAAACAATGGAATGAAATATTTTATAATCTGAAGGTAAGTAGCCATTTCCAAATGTCCTTCAACCTTTGAAATATATAATGTCATAAGTTTTTACCATATTGGGACGTGTAATTGTCGTGCAGTTTATCAAATTAAAAGTGAATCAAAGAACTAGAGACTGAGTCACTCTTCATATGAATCCTCACCTACAGTTACAGTCTTAGAGTAAGAGCTTCAGGATGCATATTACATTCGTGTGGTTCCATAAAGTATGTAGATTTTAATGCCTAGAAAGCTGTGAGGCCTGAATAAAGCCTCTGCCACATACAGTACATTTATTTGATTTCTCATTATTATGGACCCTTGGATATCTATTAACATTTGAACTCATGAGCAGTTTGCCACAGTCACTGCATCTTCAAGGATTCTCTCAGGAATAAATTCTCTGATGTTGTCAAAGGAATGAATTCTAACTGCAAAAGTTGCCACCTTCATTTGTAAGGTTTCTCTCCACTCTGAATTCTGAGATGACTTCCAAGGTTTGAACTCTGACTTTAGAACTTTACACAAGTGACATTTATAAGGTTTTTTTTCCAGTATGGATTGCCTGATGGGTCGCTAGGCTTGAACGGACACTAAAGGCTTTCCCACATAATTACACTCATATGGTTTCTCTCCAGTATGAACTCTCCGATGCCTTTCAAGTTTTGAAGTTTGACTGAAGGCTCTGCCACATTCATTACACTTGTAAGGTTTATCTCCAGTATGAATTCCTCGATGTCTTGCAAGGTGTGAATTCTGAGTGAAGACCTTGCCACACTCATTGCATTTGTAAGGTTTTTCTCCAGTATGGATTGCCTGATGAGTAGTTAGGCCTGAACGGACACTAAAAGCTTTGCCACACTGACTACACACATATGGTTTCTCTCCAGTATGAACTCTCTGATGCCTTGCAAGTTTTGAAGTTTGGCAAAAGGCTTTGCCACATTCATTACACTTGTAAGGTTTATCTCCAGTATGAATTCCTCGATGTCTTGCAAGGTGTGAATTCTGACTGAAGACCTTGCCACACTCATTACATTTGTAAGGTTTTTCTTCAGTATGGATGACCTGGTGGGTAGTTAGGTTTGAATGTTCACTAAAAGCTTTGCCACACTCGTTATACTTGTAAGTTTTCTGTCCAGTATGAATTCGCCGATGCCTTGCAAGGTATGAGTTATGCCTAAAGACCTTGCCACATTCATTACATTTGTAAGGTTTCTCTCCAGTATGAATTCCCCGATGTCTTGCAAGGTGTGAATTCTGTGTGAAGACCTTGCCACACTCATTACATTTGTAAGGTTTTTCTCCAGTATGGATTGCCTGATGGGTAGTTAGGCTTGAGTACACACTGAAGGCTTTGCCACACTCATTACACATATAAGGTTTCACTCCAGTATGAATTCTTTGATGATTTGCAAGGTGTGAATTTTGAGTGAAGACCTTGCCACATTCATTACATTTGTAAGGTTTTTCCCCAGTATGGATGACCTGATGAGTAGTTAGGTTTGAATGTGCTCTAAAGGCTTTGCCACACTCATTACACTTGTAAGGTTTCTCTCCAGTATGAATTAGCTGATGCCTTGCAAGGTGTGAATTACGCCTAAATACCTTGCCACATTCATGACATTTGTATGGCTTTTCTCCAGTGTGAATTACTAGATGAATAGCTAGGCTTGAACGAACACCAAAGGCTTTGCCACACTCATTACACTTGTAAGGTTTCTCTCCAGTGTGAATTCTCCAGTGATTTATAAGGTGTGAATTTTGAGTGAAGACCTTGCCACATTCATTACATTTGTAAGGTTTTTCCCCAGTATGGATGACCTGATGAGTAGTTAGGTTTGAATGTGCTCTAAAGGCTTTGCCACACTCATTACACTTGTAAGGTTTCTCTCCAGTATGAATTAGCTGATGCCTTGCAAGGTGTGAATTACGCCTAAATACCTTGCCACATTCATGACATTTGTATGGCTTTTCTCCAGTGTGAATTACTAGATGAATAGCTAGGCTTGAACGAACACCAAAGGCTTTGCCACACTCATTACACTTGTAAGGTTTCTCTCCAGTGTGAATTCTCCAGTGATTTATAAGGTGTGAATTTTGAGTGAAGACCTTGCCACATTCATTACATTTGTAAGGTTTTTCTCCACTGTGGGTTGCCTGATGGATACCCAGGCTTGAACGAGCTCTAAAGGCTTTCCCACACTCATTACACTTGTAAGGTTTCTCTCCAGTATGAATTCCCCGATGTCTTGCAAGGTGTGAATTCTGAGTGAAAACCTTGCCACATTCATTACATTTATAAGGTTTCTCTCCAGTGTGAATTTTCTGATGTTGTGAGAGTTGTGAATTTCGACTGAAGACCTTACCACACTCATTACATTTGTAACGTTTTTCTCCAGTATGGATTACCTGATGGGTAGTTAGGTTTGAACGTGTTCTAAAGGCTTTGCCACACTCATAACATTTGTAAGGTTTCTCTTTAGTATGACTTCTCTGGTGACTTGCAAGGTGTGAATTTTGAGGGAAGACCACACCACATACATTAGATTTGTAAGGCTTTTCCCAATTGTTTGCTTTTTCTCCCTGTGTAAGTAATAAAGAGATAAAGTCTTTGAAATATTTCTTAGAAATGTAGGTTTTGACATTATAAGGCATTTGTTGAGGTGGTAAAACTGAGGAACTATTATTGAAAGACTTTTCTACCTGATTATATTCATAAATTTTCCCTTCATATTGAAAAAGCTGCAGTTCAGGCAGATGTGACTGAAAGCTTAATCCACGCTGATTTTTAATAAGCTTGTTTCTTGCATCTCTTTTATCATGTTCATCTCTTCCATGAGTGAGATTATCTTTCTGTGTCATAAGCACTCCTTTGTAATTTCCTTTAGCATCTCTGCATTGATACTCAAGGTCATGAATATTTTTCTGGACTTCCCTGAAGAAACAGCCTTCAATGTCATGGCTTTCATGTCTTTCCAACATCACTGTTTGGAATGCTTCTCCTGTACTGCTCTTCCCTTTGTGTGGTAAATCTTTCATTACAAATTCAGAAGACAGAGCTACAAGATATAAAGATCCGTAGGTTTCCAATTAATTGCAGTATGTAAACAAGTATTTTACACTGAAAAACAATATTATACCAAAGGAATTCTTACATTGAACAGATTTATGAAACTTCAATACAATAATATTCAATTTTTAGGAAAACAAAAGGAAGAGGATTGTTTAATAAAGAAAAGTTGATTCCATGTAATTCAAATTAATAGTATGGAAGCATAGTTCTCAACCAACAATACGGTAGCCAGCAAAGCAATCCTCAGTAATAAAGGAGAGATCGTCTTTCCCAGACAAACAAAGCTAAGGGAATTTACCATGATCAGACCTCTTTTACAAGAAATGATAAAGGGATTTTTCAAATCCAAATAAAATGACACAATGTAACTGTTACACTAATATTAACATCATAATCATGATATACAAACCATTGATACGAAGAGGGCTAAAAGATAAAACTATTAAAAATAAGCACAACAATTTTTTTTTCACCGCCGCCCCAGGCACAACAATTTTAAAAGATAGGCAGGCCGGGCGCGGTGGTTCAAGCCTGTAATCCCAGCACTTTGGGAGGCCGAGGCGGGTGGATCACGAGGTCAAGAAATCGAGACCATCCTGGTCAACATGGTGAAACCCCGTCTCTACTAAAAATACAAAAAATTAGCTGGGCATGGTGGTGCGTGCCTGTAATCCCAGCGACTCAGGAGGCTGGGGCAGGAGAATTGCCTGAACCCGGGAGGTGGAGGTTGCAGTGAGCCGAGATCGCGCCATTGCACTCCAGCCTGGGTAACAAGAGCGAAACTCCGTCTCAAAAAAAAAAAAAAAAAAAAGATAGGCAGTACACAACATAAATTGTGACATAAAAAATTCAAAATGCAGAATGAGAAGGGAATGAATACGTACAGAGGTTTTTGTTTTGTTTTGTTTTGTTTTTTGTAATCAAAGATAAGTTGATATTGGTTTGAGATAAATTGTTAACAGCTATAGGATGCTTTTTTGTAAGTTTTATTTTATGGTCACCATAAAGTAAAAGCCTGTAATAGACATACTAATAATAAAAAGCAATGAATTAAAACATACTGCCATTTTGTTGCTTCTTTTCTAATTGTTTTGTAATTCCTCTCTTGCTTTCTTTCTTACTGTTTTCTTTTGTGTTTAAGTGATTTTTCTCCAGTAGCATAAGTCCTTACCTATCAATAATAACATTAAATATAAATGGACTAAATTCTCCAGTTACAACAAACTCACTTCACCTATAAAGATACATGTAGACAAAAAGTGAAGGGATGGAAAAAGATATTCCATGGAACTAGAAACCAAAAAAGAGCAGTAGTAGGTATATTTAGATAAAATAGACTTTACATCAATAAGCATTAGAAGAGACAAAGAAGGTCAGTATATACTGATAAAGGAATCAACTTAGCAAAAGGATATAATAAATACATATGCACACAAATATGTAAAGCAAATGTTAATAAATCTAAAGGGCGAGACAAACAGCAATACAATAATATCAGGGGTCTTCAAAACACAACTTTTGGTAATCAATAGATCAGGGAGAAAACCAACAAAAAAAATCAGAGTTAAAGTATATGACAGACTAAATTGATCTAAACAATACTTTTAAAAAAAAAAAAGAGATGGGGTCTCCCTGTGTTACCCAAGCTGTTGTGCAGTGCCCAGTCACAGGTGAGTTCACATTGCCCTGCAGCCTTGAACTTCTGGCTTTAAGCATTCCTCTTGCCTCAGTCTCCCAAATGGCTAAAATTACAGGCATGTTCCATTGCATCTGCCCTAACAGACACTTACAGACCATTTTATCCAACTGTTGCACAATACACATTCTTCCCATCAGCACATGGATCATGCTTCAGGATAGATTATAAGTTAAGACACCAAACAAGTCTCAATAAATTAAAAAAGTCAAAATAGTATCTAGTATATTCTCAGACCACAATACAATAACACTAGAAATCAACAACAAAAAGAGTCTCGGAAGATATACAAACATGGTTGGGCGCGTTGGCTCACGCCTGTAATCCCAGCACTTTGGGAGGTCAAAGCAAGCGGATCACCTGAGGTCAGGAGTTTGAGGCTAGCCTGGTCAACATGGTGAAACCCCATCGCTACTGAAAATACAAAAATCAGCCATGTGTGGTAGCATGTGCCTGTAATTCCAGCTACTTGGGAGGCTGAGGCAAGAGAATCACTTGAACCTGGGAGGCAAAGGTTGCAGTGAACCAAGATCATGCCACTGCATTCCAGCCTGGGCAAGACAGTGAGACTCCGTCGCAAAAAAAAAAAAAAAAAACCAAAATAACAGAATTAGCTGGGCGTTGTAGTGTGTGCCTGTAACCCCAGGTACTGCAGGTGAGAGGGTCAGCTGAGCCCAGGAGTTTGAGTTTGCAGTGAACTATGATTGTGCCACTGCACTCCAGTCTGGGTGAGAGAGAGAGAGACTGCCTCAAAAAAAAAAAAAAAAAAAAAAGAAAGAAAGAAAGAAAGAAAAGGAAAAAGAAAGAACTAATACTAATTCTACTCAAACTATTTAAAAAATTAAAGGAAGCACATATTTCCAAACTCATTTTATGAGGCCACCATTACCCTGATGCCAAAAAGCAGACAAGGACACAACAACAAAAAGAAAACTACAGGCCAATATCTGTGACGAATATATATGCAAAAATCCTCAACAAAACAGAAGTGGCAAATACAATTCAACAACACATTAAAAAGGCATTCACCATGATCAGGTGGGATTCATTCCAGGAACGCAAGGACAGTTTAATACACATGAATCAATGAATGTGATTCATCACATCAACAGAATCAAGGACAAAAACCGTATTATCATTTCAATAGGTGCTGGAAAATGACTCAATAAAATCAGTATCTCTTCATGATAAAACGTCTCTAAACAACTTGCGTACAGAAAAAACATACCTAAACATGATAAAAGCCATATCTGACAAATCCACAGGGAATATACTAAACAAAGAAAAATTGAAAGCCTTTCTGCTAAGATCTGGAAGACAAGGATGTCCACTTTCACTCCTTCTATTCAACATAGCATTGATATTCTAGCCAAAGCAATTAGACAAGAGAAAGAAATTAAAAAAAAAACATACAAATGGAAGAAGTCAAAATATACTTCTTTGCAGATGACATGATTTTATATTTAGAAAAACCTAATGGCTCCACTAAAACACTCTTACAATTTAGCAAACTATATAGAATTCAGATCTATATGACTGAGAACTGGGCATCAGATAGAATCAATTACAGAAGAAAACACCAAAGGACAAAACAACCCTTTTGTAACAGCCTTCCTTGTTCCACATGGAATCAAGGAACCAGAGTTTTCAGAAGCTAGATAACAGTGTTGTCCATTATGATAAAGCCTTTGCCGGCCGGGCGCAGTGGCTCACGCCTGTAATCCCAGCACTTTGGGAGGCCGAGGCGGGTGGATCACAAGGTCAAGAGATCGAGACCATCCTGGTAAACGTGGTGAAACCCCGTCTCTACTAAAAATACAAAAAATTAGCTGCGCATGGTGGTGTGTGCCTGTAATCCCAGCTACTCAGGAGGCTGGGGGAGGAGAATTGCCTGAACCCGGGAGGTGGAGGTTGCGGTGAGCCGAGATCGCGCCATTGCACTCCAGCCTGGGTAACAAGAGCGAAACTCCGTCTCAGAAAAAAAAAAAAAAAAAAAAAGCCTTTGCCTTTGTTTGAGCTGCAGCACAATTAGAGGGTGAAAGGATAAACTCGTACAAGTCTAAAGGATAGATAAAAAGGGGTAAAGATTTCTGTTCAGAGGTCACAGGATTCAAACTTCTGCTTTCCCACAGGATTCTCTGTCTATAGAGTTTCCCAAATACTATTTAATAAGCGGCATTCTCTCCACCCATCTGAACTCTTACCTGTGATCACGGCTTTGATCCATTCCCATCCATCTGGGTTTCCTGCTATCTGTACTTGGCTCTCCAGAGTGAAAGGTTCCTTCCTTTGTTCCAACATAGAGATAATACTGAGGTCAAAACAAGAGATTCCTGCTTATAAAAAGAAAGGAAAACAATAGGCTATAGAGTTTCCAGAGTCCCAGTCCTATGTTTACATGAGGAGGGAGAACTTCACAGATATATCTAGAAAAAAACTTCAAAAACTCATCTACTAAATGCTTCCTAATGAATTGCTAGGAAACACTATAATATACAAATATACAGCTCTCATCCCAAAACCACTGCATCAGAGCATGGGGATAGAAAAGAGGGAATTGGGTATTTTAAAAGCTCTGCAACCCTCCAGTAATGTCAGGAAGAGGACAATCGAAATCCAGTTTCCACATTATGGAAATTTTCATTTTTGAGTCAACACAGCTTCAGTTTCAGCCAAGCAATGCAGGGGCTCCCAAGAGACCCACAAGGAAAATGAAAAGATACACAGAGGAAGATCCTAACTTCTGGAAAAAGTCATCCTCACCCAGGGAGGCCAGGTTCCTGTAGTTCTCCAACATCACGTCCCTGTACAAACTCCTTTGAGCAGGGTCCAGGCATGTCCACTCCTCCTGAGAGAATTCTATAGCCACATCCCTGAATGTCACCTGTCCCTAAAATGAAAAACACATCCACCAAGGGGATAAGAGGAAAGTTCTAATCTTCACATAAAATGAGAAGAGAGAATAAACTGGAGTGAGTGACATCCAAGTTGCGATATAATAAAATACACATGGTCTTCATTCCCCTTTCCTGACATACACCTCACTTGGAATCTCTGGAGTGATAAGTATCTTTGCAAGCTAATGAGATGACTGGTGGCTGGAGGCCCCAAGAGTTTCAGAATAGGGGCTGGTCACCAGAAAGACCAAGGCTGGATTAGAGAGCTGGGACTTCAAGTCCCATTCCCCAACTTCCCCTGAGGGGACGGGGGCTGAAGGTTCAGTTGATCACCAGTAGCCAAAGATGTAAGGAATCATGCCCACATAATGAAGCCCCCATAATAACCCAAAAGGACAGGGCCCAAACAACCTTCAGTATAGGGAAATACATGAAGGGCTTCCTGAGTAGCTGGGATTACAAGCGTGCATCACCACGCCATGCCCCTTCTCCTATACCTTACTGAATAGACTGCTTACATCTGTGTGTTCATCTCCATACTCTGTAATATCCTATATAATAAATGGGTCAATATAAGAAAAGTGTTGCCCTGATTTCTGTGAGCCACTCTAGCAAATGAATCAAAGCTGAGGAGGGGGTCATGGGAATTCATGATGCATAGCCAGTCAGTGAGAAGCAAAGGCCATCTGTGTTTGCAGCTGGCATTGAAGTGGGTACACTCTTGTGGGACTGAGCCCTCAACTTGTGGGATCTGATGCTATGTCCAGGTAGACAGTGTCAGAATTCAACTGAATAGGAGGTCACCCAGCTGGTGTCTAGTGCAGAATTGCTTGCTTAGTGTGTGTGGGAAAGCCCAGGACATCTGGGATCACAGATGTGTTCTCTGTTGTGAGAGTACAGTAGGAGAAACTGGATCTGATTGCACTGCATTCTCACACACACACATTATTTTTGAGCAGGGTTCCCTTAATTGTCTTCTTATACTTTTGTATAAGAGGTTATGATAGCCTCTAAATCAGTATTGATTTCTCAGTTTTATAGACAATACAAAAAATATACAAATATACAAACAAAAAACCAACACTGGGTTATCTTTATTGAAGTGTTATATATTATGTTTGACACACCAAGTCATGTTCAGTGTCTAGATGATCTAGAGCATGAGTAATGTCTTATGAGATGAAAATGTATACAGTGACTTTAAAGAAAGTTCAGAATCTTAAAACTGTGATAATCATCACAATAACAATGACAGATGTTTCTGAGTACTTTCCCAGTGCAAGGCATTATCCTACTTATTTATTTACTTACTTATATTTTTTAGATGGAGTCGCTCTGTCGCCCAGGCTGAAGTGCAGTGGCGTGATCTCGGCTCACTGCAACCTCCACCTCCTGGGCTCAAGCAAGTCTCCTGCTTCAGCCTCCCGAGTAGCTGGAATTACAGGCATCCACCACCAGGCCCAGCTAATTTTTGTATTTTTACTAGAGACAGGGTTTCACCGTGTTGGCCAGGCTGGTCTTGAACTCCTGACCTCAGGTGATCCACTTGCCTTGGCCTCCCAAAATGCTGGGATTATAGGCGCGAGCCACTGTGCCCGGTCTAATATTATTCTAAATAAATGCCATGCATGTAGTAACTTGTATATGAATATGACAGCTCATGAGAGAAAGATATGTTCCCATCTTACTAGGAGATAAATGTATGACAGACACTCTAAGAAACTTGGGTCAAGTCAAAGACCTAAAATGTCAGAACAAGCTTCCCAGTCCAGGAGTTCGGGAATAAGAATTAAACCTAAAGAATCAAACAGTTGGCCGGGCGCGGTGGCTCAAGCCTGTAATCCCAGCACTTTGGGAGGCCGAGGCGGGTGGATCACGAGGTCAAGAGATCGAGACCATCCTGGTCAACATGGTGAAACCTCGTCTCTACTAAAAATACAAAAAAAAAAAACATTAGCTGGGCATGGTGGCGTGTGCCTGTAATCCCAGCTACTCAGGAGGTTGAGGCAGGAAAATTGCCTGAACCCAGGAGGCGGAGGTTGCGATGAGCCGAGATCGCGCCATTGCACTCCAGCCTGGGTAACAGGAAAACCCCCTCGTCTCAAAAAAAAAAAAAAAAAAAAAAAGAATCAAACAGTTAAGTAAAACAGTATGAAAAGTGCCTACATGAGCAAAGTTGAAACAAGTTTGTGAATACCAACATGGAACTACATATAAACACATTTATTTATACCCATAATATCTTATTATTCTTACTTTTTTTTTTTTTTTCGAGATGGAGTTTCACTCTTGTTGCCCAGGCTGGAGTGCATGGCACAAACCTGGCTTACTGCAACCTCTGCCTGCCGGGTTCAAGCGATTCTCCTGTGTCAGCCTCCCGAGTAGCTGGGATTACAGGCATGTGCCACCATACCCAACTAATTTTGTATTTTTAGTAGAGATGGGGTTTCTCCATGTTGGTAAGGCTAGTCTCAAACTCCTGACCTCAGGTGATCTGCCTGCCTCAGCCTCCCAAAGTGCTGGGATCACAGGCATGAGTCATTGTGCCGAGCTACTATTCTTACTATTAAGTTATTAAAGTGATAGTTGAGAACAAATATAAGACAGAAAACATTTATGATGTAATTTGAACTGCTAAAAAATATAAAGCTTATTGAAAATCATGATGTTAAAAAACCATGCACTCACATCACATATACTCAGTTTTATAATAACAGGGAAAAGTTAAAATATCCACCAGTCCTCGTTCAGAGAAAGGTCTGATAAGGATGTAGAATGAGCTATCAATGTTTCCTAACATGAAAACATGTAAATTTTCAAAATTTGCATGCTAAAGTATCACAACAAAACTTGCACTGAATGGTGAGCATGGTGGCTCATGCCTTTAATCCCAGCACTTTGGGAGGCCAAGATGGGCTGATCACTTGAGGTCAGAAGTTTGAGACCAGCCTGGCCCACATGGTGAAGCCTTGTCTCTATTATAAATATAAAAACTAGGTGGGGTGCAGTGGCTCACGCCTGTAATCCCAACACTTTGGGAGGCCTGGGCGGGCAGATCACCTGAGGTCAGGAGTTTGAGGCCAGCCTGGCCAACATGGGGGAAACCCTGTCTCTACTAAATATACAAAAATTAGCCAGGCTTGGTGGTGCATGCCTGTAATCTCAGCTTCTTGGGAGGCTGAGGTAGGAGAATCACTTGAACTTAGGAGGCAGAGGTTGCAGTGAGCTGAGATTGTGCCATTGCACTTCAGCCTGGGCAACAAGAACAAAACACCACCTCAAAAAAAAATAATAATAATACACACACACACACACACACACACACACACACACAAATAAACTAGTTGGGTGTGGTGGCATGCAACTGTAGTCCCTGCTACTTTGGAGGCTGAGGTGAAAGACTGCTTGAATCCGGGAGGCAGAGGTTGCTCTGAGCCGAGATTGTGCCACTCTAACCCTGAGCGACAGAGTGAGACTCTGCCTCAAAAAAAAAAAAAAAAATTCACTGAAAAATTTTGTTCTTAATGTCAAAACAATCTATAAACACATTTCTATAGGACTTGAGCTGTCTCCTGACACGAAACTGACAACACTGCTTCCCCACTGAGATGAGATGGAGGGTGGAAGATGCAACAGGAAGGGGATGCTTTATGGTTTAGGGTGTGAGCTGCAAGTTTGTTTGGGGTTATACTATAAAACAGAGAAATACAACATGTCAAGTTTAAAATGAAAGAAACAGCCGGGTGTGGGGGCTCATGTCTGTAATCCCAGCACTTTGGGTGGCCGAGGTGGGTGAGTCGCTGGAGCTCAGGAGTCCAGGACTAGCCTGGGCTACATGGTAAAACACTGTCTCTATAAAACATACAAAAATCAGACAGACATAGTGGTGTGTGCCTGTAGTTCAGCTACTTGGAAGTCTGAGGCAGGAGGATCGATTGAGCCCAGAAAAGTTGAGACTGCAGTGAGCTGAGATCATGTCACTGCACTCCAGCCTGGGCAACAGGGTGAGACTGTCTCAAACTAAGTAAATAAATACAATAAATAGAATATTTAATAATTGGTAAAACAAGAATATGGTTCTATCCTCTCTAATGGCAATGAAGTTTTGCTCCGATAACTGAGCAAAATAACCATTCTCACCTAGCACAAGGGTCCCTGCAGAAACACCACAGTCTCCACTGTATGGGTTTTCTGAGAACAGGTGAATGATTCTCCTGCTTTTTCCTTTTAGGTTGATTTCAAGTAATAAAATAGACGAGGGGATGAAAGAATCCTCTGCCACTGATGCCTGTCAGCCTCACGTTCCCATTCCATTCCCAGTCATTAGTAAAACTTTGGAGCTGGAAACAGTGACTCACTCAGTAAGCTTCGAGTGTAATATAAATGAGCCAGAAAATATTTCCCTTTATTAGCCTTATTTTACGGAATTTAGCAGGTATTTGTGCATATTAATATGTGATGTCCACGTGCAGTTTCTCTACTCCTGGTCCACAGCCAGCTGACGGTGCATCCAGATGTGGCCCCTGAACAATCCCTGCTGCCCAGCAGCCCTGACACCACAGGGCCCATACCCCGTCTCCATCCACGTCTGGGGTGAGCCCTTCCCAGGACCATGCCCAGTACAGCCTCTTCCCAAGCTCATGTCACTGGGTCACGGGAGATGGAACCTAAGTGAGATGAGAGGGACTGAGTGAAGGCATGGGTGACTGCCAGCAAACCTGTCAGGCAGGACGCTTCAGACTCAGCAGATTTGCTGCTTCAAAGAATGACATTTCAGGAAGAAATAAGAGGCAGAACAATCCACTGAGAATGTTACTTTACCTGAGTGAGAGCCATGCCTGACTTCTTTCCTTTTCTACCTCTTCAAGGGTTCTTCCTTAGGGAACAGGAAAGCACCTTTAGAAGTCAATACTGAATATCCAAAATGTGCTGTCTATTGCTCAGAATCAGCACATCCCCTTCCTCTGCCACAATCACATACACAGGGAAGACCCTCACCCTGTGGAAAGATTGTCCTCTGAGGCCGACTGCACCAGGGGCAATGCAGGGACAAGAAACTACTACGGGAAGAACAATAAGTGAGTTTCTGGCCCCTTTCTTCAGAAGCAGCTCCCCTCCTGGAGAAGCCCACACATATGCTGCAGCAGTGGGGAGCTGGGCTGGAATGAGCTCGCCTTCAGGGCATAGACCCAGCCCTGACCTAATCCCATGCAGAGAACAGCCTCCCTCGCCTCTCTTTCTGTGGATTGCAGGCCAATCTCAGGCCTCAGAAACGAAAGGCAGAGGCTGGATGTGGTGGCTCACACCTGTAATTCTAGCACTTTGGGAGGCAGGAAGATCAACTGAGGCCAGGGCTGGGCACGGTGGCTCACGCCTGTAATCCCAGCACTTTGGAAGGCCGAGTTGGGTGGATCACCTGAGGCTGGGAGTTCAAGACCAAGCCTGGCCAACATGGAGTAACCCCATCTCTACTAAAAATACAAAAATTAGCTGGGTGTGGTGGTGGGCGCCCATAACCCCAGCTACTTGGGAGGCTGAGGCAGGAGAATAGCCTGAACCTTGGAGGTAGAAAATGCAGTAAGCTGGAATCATGTACTCTAGCCTGGGCCACAGAGTAAGGCTGTCTCAAAAAAAAAAAAAAAAAAAAGATGTGTAAAGCTTAATGGGATGTCCTAAAAGCCGGGAAAATAGAAAAGAAAGTGATCAACTGTGCCACATGCTGCGGATAGTAATGGAAAGATGACAGGAAATTAAACACTGAATTTCAAATGGAGCTGTCAGTGGTAACTAAAAAAGAAAGTATCGGCCAGGCGCGGTGGCTCAAGCCTGTAATCCCAGCACTTTGGGAGGCCGAGGCGGGTGGATCACAAGGTCAAGAGATCGAGACCATCCTGGTCAGCACGGTGAAACCCCGTCTCTACTAAAAATGCAAAAA